ATCTGATAGATTTGAAAACAACTGTAAACAAACCAGTAGTATTAGAGATTATTGGAGAGAAGGTCTTCTTACACATAATACTAAAACTCTGAATTAGGGCCAAAGAGATGTTCAGTGGTTAAAAGCTTGCCAATGAGTCTGATAATCTAAACTGGATCTCTAGGACCTGCACAGTGGAAGGAGAGGGCTCCTATGATCTCCCAACACATGCTGTGGTATATATATGCATACATACTAAATAAGAGTAATTTTAATAAATTAATAAAAATACAAAAGATAAAGGAAACCAGCTTTAACTGCATTCATTGTACTTTGCTATACTGGTTCTGGGGATTAAACCCAGGGACTGTAAGTGTGCTAAGCATGTATTCTCCCATGTTCTGCAGCCCCAGTCCTAACTGCATTCATTTTTAAACAACTGTATAAAAAAGTCACGCACAGAGACAAAGAACACTTGGAAAAAGTACCTGCCATATATGGGGAGGTGTGGGTACAAACTATATAGCTCTCAGGTTAATCCAGTCAGCTGCCTGTTTTTGCTAATAAAGTTTCACCAAAACATAACCACATCCATTGGGCTCATGTATTATCTATAGCTCATTATGTACAATAATGGTTATATAATTTTCAGAGTCTATATGACCCACAAAGGCTAAAAATATTTACTATTAAGCCATCTATCCAAAGTCCGTAAACCCTGACCAAAACCATACACAAAAAACTACAAATCATCAGAGGAAAGGGACCTATTGTAAAGACAAGCAATCCACAAAAAAATAAAAACAACTCAATACATATTATAGAGAAAGCCTGCATGATGGCTCATACCTATATTTAATTCCAGCACTGTGGAGGTAGAGACAGGAGATCAGCAATTCAAGATATGCCACAGCTCTAAACCAAGTTCAAGGACACCTTGGGCTACATAAGATTCTGTCAAACCTGTATTCACATGCATATATCTACACACAGACACACATACATATATGTGATTAATAATAATAATAAAACAAATCTTCAAAAGGGGGTTTAACTTAAATAGCAACAGGAAACTCATTAAAAAATTAAATCAGTTGGTAATGTCCATTTCTGAAAAGGTTATGATATTGTTTTGGAAATTTAGTGAACTTGATGTTGGTCTAACCATTCTATTTTTAGGTATCTGCCCCAGAAAAATATTTGCATTCCTGCACGCACACACCCAATCATAAGCACTATAAAGCTGAGACAGACACAACGTGGCCGGAGAGACATTTCAAGTGCAGTTGCTGCTCTTCTAGAGGACCAGAGTTCAAGTCCCAGAACCCACAGCAGGCAGCTGACAACTATTTGCAACTCCAGATCCAGGGAATTCACACCTTTGGCTTCCACTTCCACATATGTCTACATAGACATGAACATGAACACACACACACACCCCCCTACACATAATAAATTTAATAAAAACAAATCCTTAAGAGGACAGAATTTACTTAAGTTTTAAAATTAATGAGTTATGCATGCATGACTCATTATATATATATTCCTATATATTATATATGTGAAGTGTGTGGACGCATATACATTCCATAACACCCAGGTGAAAGTCAGAGAACAATTTTGTAGACTTCTTTTCTCCTTCTACGTTTATGTGGGTTCAGGAGAAAGACCTTATAGCACCAGGCTTAGCTTGCACAACAAGCATTTAACCTGCTGAGTTGTTGCTGGCCCTCTATTCACTATTTAAAACAGCAAAACTCATCAGTGGCCTTAACTGTCCATCACTGAGGGAACTGGTTAAATTACAGTACATCCCAAATGGGTTCACATGGAAAACAATTTTGAAGTTTTTAGATATAACAGCATGAAAAGGAGCTCTAAACATTGTCAAGCAGAAAAAAAGTATATTGTGGAGCAAATACAAACACAAAGTTCAGCCTTTAAAAGGTTGAATGAGGGCAGGTGAGATACATGGCTCAGCAGGAAAAGGCACTTGTTGCCAAACCAGCGACTTGAGTTTGATGCCCAGAACCAGGATGGAAGGAGAGAGCTGACTCACTGTGACAAGTGGATGCCCACACCACAAAATAAACAGATGCTCAAACTTTAAAGGTTTAAGTGGGGCTGGAGAGATGGCTCAGTGGTTAAGAGCACTGCTTGCTCTTCCAAACGACCGGGGTTCAATTCCCAGCACCCACATGGCAGCTCTCAACTGTCTGTAACTCCAGTTCCAAGTGTCTGACACCCTCACACCCATAAAATAAAATTAAATAAAGGTTTAAGTGATACTTCAGTCCATATATATGCAGAGAAATGCACAAGAGGACTGAAGAAAAATGTCACCCTGGGAACAGGGAAGCAAGCATCATCTGAGTGACAAACAACACAAGAACTCTGATTTAACTGGTCACAAGTCAGTCTGAATTCCAGGGGACGGAAAGCAGGGCTCCTTGGCTCCAGACAGCACTGTTGAAGCACCTTCTGAAACTCAACTATTCTGATGTGCTCATGGGGTGGCTGCTGTAGATCCTTAAGAGAAGGCGACAAAGAAGGCACTTAGGAATCTATGCTACGCTCCTGCAAGGCTTTCCCCTCCCTGAGTTTCAGGCTTTTCTGCAGGGAAAGGAAGTGGCTAGCTTAACTGACCTCCAAGTACTTCCCAGGTCTGATGCCACAACATAGGCAGGCCTGAAAGAGGTTTCCTACCCTGCTATGGGAAAACAAATAAACAAAACCAACAGCTGAGGAAATAAAGCTCAAATCAGAAGGCTCAAAGGAATGTGTGCTCCTGGGAAGATGACATCCTTGAGAGCAGAAGCTGCCCCCGCCTCCCTGCCCTCACATCCTCAACTATTACAGAGGGGTGGCTTTGATGATGGCTGATGTATCCACCAGCTTGGACAGTCTAAAATAAGCTCTGGGCGGGAGGGGCAGCAGGAAGCAGGGGATTGGGGGAGGCTGACAGGAACCAATTGGCTGAGGTTTTCTAATGGAGCCATAAGGAGAGCAAAAGGCTCTGGGAGAACCGGATACAGAGAGCAGCGACAAATGCTGTTGGCAGCAGCCTCCAGTCCCCCTGCTCTCCTTTCAAGAGCAGTTTCTTCCTGGAAGATCCCAGGAGGCAGAAGCCTGGGCTGATCTCTACCGCACAAATAACTCCACTCATTATTTTAGGAACTACTATTCCAGTTGTGCCCTGGAGGTCTCAGGCCTGTTTCAAACCCTACAATTCCACTTCAAAAGCAACAAGAAGTCCAATACTTACAATCTGCCTCACCTCATGAGTTTAATTAATAATCAACAGACTTTTTTTTAACAGTTTAGACTCAAACACTGAAATTCCACTCATTCATCTAAGAATCAGATAAACAGCCCTTACAAAGAAAGCATAAGCACCTAATTAACAGTTTAGGCGGCTGCTTCAAATAACTTGGAAACTTACAAACCCCTCTCAAACAGCCTTTGCCAAGTCCAGAAACCAAAGCTGACTGTCCTACGGGTGGTGGATGAAAAGCTCAATACAATATATTTCTTGCTTTTCATAACAGCACTGTGGGAGAAGTAAGCCAGTACTACTATTACCAGTGTACAGATACGGAAATTAAAACAAAGGTAAAAGAATTCATTCAAGGTCAGACCTTGGAAAGTCACAAGCAGTCACCTCATAGATCCCATAAACTGCTTCCCAGAACAGAGTCCAAAAGAGAAGAGGAAATCACATTTCCCTCTCTTCAAGAGTACTGCCCCTCCCAAGTAGACAGGTCTCTCAGGCCCTTGGTGTCCTCACAAATCAATGACTGAGACCTAGAGAATCTGGTTAAGCTTCCTGATTACTTCCTGGTTATTGGAAATCTGACCTCGGAGAAAGATGCCATAACCCCCGCCCTACCACCCAACTCCGGTCTGCCCAATAAAACAAGTCAAACCTTGCTTGCCCATAAAGGCTTTAAAAACAGCCAAACCAGGGCACTTCAAAGCCACATTTTCAGTCTAAACAGCTCTTTCCAAAAGGAGTGGCTACAGCAAGGTGGCACTGGGCTGAAATGCATGGGTAACTCCAGTGGCAGTCAGCAAGCAGGTGCTGAGGGGCAACCAGAGAGGAATGGGGGGAAAGATGAGCAGGATGCACATGTCCTTCCCAAAAGGGTGTAAACAAGGCTAGGAATCTTCAACACCAGAAGCCTGAGAGCAACCAGTCCCCAAGGGCCAGTAGCCCAAATCTGTACCAATACAAATTCCCAATCTCCTACAGTACCGGGGAAGGGAGGAGTTGGAGGCTTAGGACTGTTTACCATGTATGCCTGTGACTTTGACAAGGGTTAGGAAGAGCTACTAACCTGGTCCAAAATGCGGACCAACAGATACGGACAGAAAGAGGAAGGAACCAACTTTCCCCAGAATGCACAGGTCTTCTTGGACTCTTGAGCCAGAGAGCAGAAACGGGAAGGGAAGCCCTTACCCCTCATCAAAAGCCATCCCTACCTTCAGTTCAAAAGCAAGACCCACCCCCATCCCCACTTGGAGACACCCCACCTCTCTCCAGGCCCTGATGGTGACAGTGACTAGGAGGGCAGGCTCTGTTCCACAAGATGGAAGCCGGTGGCCCACGCAGACAAGCCAATTCCTGGGACAGTCTGGTGTCCAAGTCTGAGTCCAGCCCCAAGACAAGAGTCTGGGTGGGGAGTTGGAGAGGGGAAGAGAGTCCTGACAAGCGGTAAGCAAGCCCCACTCCGTCCCTATCCAGGGAAACCAGACATTTTTTTTGAGTCACCCAACAAGCATGAATCACACGGCAGAGCTATGGGAACGGGAAAGGATGTTATTTTTCGGCATTCTTGAGGATTTTCCCTTTGTCCCGGCTCTATCGATACTCTTCCCGCCCCCATTCCAACCCCATCCCCCAACTCTCACGCATTTTTTTTCCTGCTCCATTTTTATTTTCTCTCGGCCTTCGCAGGCTCCGCGCTCCCCGGCCCGACTCGCAGCCAGGACTCCCAGCTCTGCACCCCGCAGCAGCTCACCTGCGTCAGGTCCTCGTCGTTGAGCAGATGCGACTCGCGGGGCTTGAAGCAGTTCTGACACTTGCTCTTGTTGAAGATGTTGGCCTGAAATTTCCTGCATGGGTTTTCTTTGGCCGCCGACATGTCGGCTAGGCGGCCGCAGCGCGGGTCGTCTCGGCCCAGCGCGCTCCCGGAGGTCGGGACTCAGCGCGGCCGCCGCCGCATTTTGCGCTGGCCGCCGCAGGCCCGGAAAGGCCTCCCCGCTCACGCCGCGCCCCGCCTGCTCGCCGCGGCCTCAGAGCGCGCGCGTCGCCTCGCGCCCCGCCCCGCCGCCCGGCCGCTGCGGGCCCATGGACGGACGCGGCCTCCGGCCGCTGCCTCCACCGCGGCCGCCCCCAAGGCGCCGGCCGGCAAGTCCAGCCGTCGCGCTCACCGGGCGCTCGCCGCCACCGCGAACGAAACGAGCCCGGCGCCGCGCGCACTCGGGGCGGGGCGGGGCGGGGCGGGACGGGACGGGGAGGGGCGGGGCGCCGCAACGGGCAGCCCCGCGGGCCAATGGCACCCTCACGCTCCTGCTAACAAAGAAACCCGTCGACCAATGGGTGACGGGGGCGGGACCGGGAGCCGCGGGCGCAAGGTAACTTGTCCAGGCTGGGAAGGTGGAGGCGCTGGGATGGAACTTTCAGGTTTGGTGGACTGGCGCCGCCGCCCGCGGCCTGACAGCTGCCGCGGCGCTGGGCTGGGCTGGGCTGCTCCCGGAAGGGCGCCGCGGACCTCCGCGGTCTCCCGGCGGGCCCCTGCCTCCCTGGTAGCCTCTTCGCTGCGGCCTTCTGCCGCGCCCAGCCTGCGCCCCTACTGTGTGCCAGCCCTACGGTCGACCCAGATAGCACTTGAAGGGCTAGGAACTGTTTCAAGCGCTTGCGTGGTTTAGATCATGAAAGTTTCACAACCTTTCCGGGATCATTCCTGTTTGGACGTAAGGAAACTGAGGCGCGCGGGACAGTTAAGTAATAAGACATAGTGCTTCCGAGGTGACTAGAAGATGTCAGCAGCCTTAAGGGACTGTCAGTTCAATTATGGGAGCCCAATTCTGCTAGACTCGGAGTTGGGCACTCCTTCGTGACGAAACAAAGGCTCAGACACTGGGACTAGCTTGTGTAAGGTCACTCAGCCAGGAAGGGGCCCGAACTATATACTCCAGGCCACTCTTGCCCAGACTCCCAGGCAAAAGGCCACTGGGAAAGGAAAGGACAGAGGATCAGGAATGGGCGGAGCGGAAGGGGGTGGAGGCGGACAACCCCCGCTCCTGAGGAGACAGTGTTTCCAACAGCACTCAGATGGATCTACGTAGAGGGCACGCGGAAATGTTCCCAAGGTGTGCGGGTGAAGGTGGAGGAGGAGGAGGAACCAGAAAGGAGTTTATGGTCCCGGGACTCTGGAGGTAGATCTAGAAGGATGGAGAGTTTGATGCCAGTCTGGAACATAGTGAGACATTTCTAAGGAGGAGAGGGGAGGGCGGGAGGGAGAGAGGGAACGAGGGAGGGAGGGATCACTTAGGCCGGACATTCCGGCCTCAGCTGGCTGGCAGTTAGAAGTCAGCCCGAGTTCTTAACAGAGGCTGAGCTAACTCATTCTTCACGGTGGCAGTGATGTTGGAGCAGGAGGTAGCACTGAGAGCAGCTGGGCTCAGGTCATGAGAGGCTTTAGGAGCGAAATGCCTTCAGAGTTGTGTACTTTTCCACTGATCATCTGGTGTCTACCCCAGGGAAGTGTATTTCCATTTTGAGAAAGAAATGCTTTCCTGCGCAAGGAATCAGGAATAAAGGAGCCCAGATCAAAGCCTTCCTGCAGCCTGAGGGGAAAACCCAGCTCTGATCCCGCTGTGGGCAAGTCCTTTACTATGACTGGCGCCTCGTTGACCACATGTACAAAACTGACATGGATGTATGGTGTTGCAAGCTTTAAGTGATAGCGATGCTTGCAAAATATTTCACATAACGTGGCCAATCATTAATCGGTGAAATTTGGTAAAGGGTATTTAGTGCACTGTTCTTGCAACCTTCTTGTTGGTCTAAAAATTTCCAAAATAAAGAAGGGGAATGAGTAAAAGGACACTGACAGCTCTTGTCTGCACAGAATACTCAGAAAGTGATACCAGTGGTGGCCTCTGGGGAGAAGAACTGGGTTATTGGGAGGTGACCTACTTTTAATTTTCATTATAAAACCTTTTTTGTTCCTTTTGGGTTTTGTTTTATGTGCATGTATAACTTGTTAAAAAAAAAAAAAAAAAAAGACTTAGGCCAGAGAGATTGCAGTGTGTCAAGGCTTTTGGTGCCGAGCCTGATGAACTGAGATCAGTGCCCGGAAGCCACATGGTGGAAGGAGAGAACAAACTCCTTCAAGTTGCCCTCTGGCCTCCATGTGAGGTGGCATGGCGTGCTGCACCCACATGGGCACGCGCGCGCGCACACACTAAATGTAAAATGTAATTAAAAATTTTTTCCCCAAAAAAAGTCTTTTAAAGTTCCACCAGTATCTTGGGGCCAATCAAGGCTACCCTATTAAGAAAATGCTGAGCATGCTCTGTCCAGGCCTGCCGCATACCACAGGAGTCACAGCTGTGGGTATGACGAAGAGTGATTCAGGGATCCTGAGGCTGGTAGCCTGACAAGAGCCCGCTCTCAAGCAAATTGAGGCTCACGGAAACAAGAGGCAAAGAGAAACCTTCCACTGGGAAATTGTGGGGTCCTGGCTAGGGAACCCCTGACTCCGTAGATAGCCTCAGAGTGGGGGCTCCTAGAAAAGGCAGTATCTTGGCCAGTCCAAAACCTAAGACAACTCACCCTGGAGAAGGAGAAGGAAAGACATTCCAGACCACCACAGCAGGGTGATGGGCTCAGGACCTTCATGCCAGTCTGTATAAACAGACAGAAGCCTGGCTGTCATTAGGGTGTTGCGGAGATTCAAACAGTCCCGAAGGAGGAGGCATTATGAAGATGAATGAGTGGGGCAAGCTTAGTCTCCCTGAGAAAGCAGGTATGCTGCTACTGGTGGGCACTTTTATTTCATGACTACTTGAAAGAAGAGGTCCATTGGGCTCAGGGCACACTAGGACCTTGCCTATGGTGATAATTAAGTCCTTTGTGAGAGTTCAAGTCTTCAGGCTGGCACCACAGCCTGGACAGTGGAGAGTCTGAAACATTGGGCGGTACCCACAGCCTTAAACATGCTCCGTAAGTGCTCTACATCTGAGCCATGTCCCAGTGCAACTGTGGATTCTTTTGACCGGGCACTCACATAGGGACCTTTGGTCAGGGAAATGAATGGCAAGCAGAGGTTTAGAAACGGGATCCATCAGGCGATGATTATGAAAGACCAAATAGTACAGATGATGGGGCCAGAACTAGAAGAGTGTCAGTCAGAGACGCAAGGAATGAAACTGGACAACACTGACGAGGTTTAAAATTCCACTAGCCTCAGCACCCCTAGGGCAGAGCTGGGGCACGGTTACTACTGCATTTCCCCACCTAGTTCAGGGCCTAGCAGAGAGTGGGTACCCAGCAACTCCTGGCCACAACTGAATAAACGAAAACATACTCTTCCATCATGCTGAGCTATTTCCCCTATCAGATTATAAAACCCACCCAGCCAGATTTGAGACTTTGGGTTCCCTTTCCAGAGGCCTAGAATACATTCAGTAGGCCGTGTACTTTTAAGATTGATTTATTGAGGACGTAACTCAGTGGCAGAGCACTTACAGAGCACACATGGTATTTAGATAAGTATTGTGGTACACTTGGGAGACTGAAACAATGTCACTATCGTTTGAGGCCAGCCTGGACTTCATAGAGTACCAGCCTGTCCAGGGTACAAGACCCTCTCTCAAAACGAGGTGATTCAGGCCAGGTGTAGCAGTGCACACTTTCAATCCCAGCACTGGAGAGGCAAAGACAGGCTGATTTCTGTGAGCTCAAGGCCAGCTTGCTCTACATAGCGAGTTCCAGGCTGAGACTCTGTCTCAAAACCAAACCAAACAAAAAAAGACGATTCACTATATTGCTCTCATTGTAATGTGTAATATATACCCCTAACAAGCAAGCAAGGAAAGTCCTCTCAGGTGGGACCCAAAGGCAATTGAGTCTTGCTGTGTGGTTCTGACTATTACCCTTGAAAACCTCCAGGGAAGTGGCAGAATTTATTATATAAACTCACACATGTTCACATAGAGGAAACCACTATTTTGTTCTCCATCATCTTGTCTGACCTTTGACCTGGCATAAGAGAGAGTCTGCTCAGTGCTCCTGCCTTTACTCACTTAACATCATAACTGTGAAATTCATATGTCCACACTGACGCTGAGTATACTGTGATCAGATGTCGGACAAGAGGCAGCTTGAGAGAGAAAGGGTTTTCGTTTCTTTTCTTCTTTTAGTTCAGTTTGAGGCCGCACTCTATCGTGGTAGGTGAGGCACTGGTGACTTGGAAGCAGGTGTGTGAAGCCGCACAGTTCACTTCTCCATAGACACGAAGCAAAGATTTGGAGATGTCAGCTCCCTCTTCCCTTATTCAGTTCAGGACCCAGCACATAGGATGCTGCTGCTCACCCTTAGACGAACACTCCTGTGCAGCCTACCGGGCTTTGGGTTGCCCAGACAGGGGCAATGGATGAACACTGAGAGAATGTAGAAAGGACAGACACATAGACACACGTACAGATATCGGGGCTCAGATGGAGACACACCGGCAGCAGCCCGGAGACTCGGTTTAGTTTATACACCTGAATGGAGGAGGTGGCTCTATTACATAGAGATTGTAGACAGCTGAAGGAGGAACCAGGCTTAGTTAATCTCAGTAAGAGGTCTCTCTAGAGGAGCAGTCTCAGCCTGAATCCTCCGAGAGGAGGAAGCTGTAGTCATACTTTCTACATACATTGGTTTTGGCTAAAGGTCAGTCATTCTTTAGCATTTGTACTTGGTCCAAGGGAGGGCTTTGCCATTCCTCCGAGCCTTGCCCAGGGAAGGCTTTGACATTTCCATGGGTCCGAAGCATAGCGGTCCTTGACATGGCCGTTCTTGACAACTCATGGCCATTACTGAATCAACAAAAATAATCACTCAGGATTTCCTCCACTCCCCACACGCAGGACTCACTTCTCACAGTTGATCTTCACTGGAAACACTCTCACAAGACACGCTCAAGGGTGCTGTCAACTGATGCTCTAGGGCCTTTATTAATCCAATCAAATTGAAAATGAAGATTAACCACCATCACTATGTCAGTCATTTTTCACATTGCTTCCCTGTTGCCGGTTGTGTGGCTGTCCTGAAAATTACCCAAGCTCTTGTGGATGTTCTC